TAATATATGTACCTATGTTTGTGTTTTGTCCCATAAATATTATAGTATATGTTTTCTACGTATTTATGTTGTTTGTTTTATTCCCAACGCACGAAACGAACCGATGACGATGATGATGAACTGTCGTCGTTGCCATTGAAAGGCGTTCACCTGAACCAGTTCAGGGCCGGTCCTTATCCTTCCCATTCCATTCCTTGCCAATTCCAGTCCCCCTCCCCTTCCCCATCCTTCGTCACCATTCCCATTTCGTTTTGTTCCAGGGACAAACAACTTTCAAGTTCAGATGGGGAACATTTTGGCAGCCAAAAGGAACTGGGTCAAGGTCGTCGTCGCAGCCAGAACCGAGAAGTGGAATGCGAATAATGAGAGGAACGGTGAGGTAGGTGGAAAAAACAAAAGTAAAGACACTCGATAAGTGACCGGGGGAAACCTTCATCGCATCATCGTAAATTTCCGTCTGGAAAGCAATACTGCCTTTTGTTTACATGGTGGTGGCCTTGCTCCAAAGATCTCTGTAAACTTTGTAGTTCTCCACCGTTCCGTTCCGTTCTATTCCGTTCTGTTCCGTTTTTTAGCTTCAATTTTTAGAGCAACGCGTCGTCAGGCACGTAGACAGCAGCGACGCCGACAGAGGCAGCGAAAAAACGCATCACATGTGAAGGGGATTAGGGGAGAAAACACATGACAAGGGGGTTTCGGTTCCAAGGGGGGAAAGATCTCTCTACAAAGTCTAAACAAACACAGAGAGAGGGAGAGATAAGGCTCCAAAGTATGCTTAAGAGAGACTCTTAACTTCTCTTGAAGACATTTAAATAAGCTAAGAAACTACAAAGTTGCTGCTAACTTATTTTATTAACAACCCATCCAGAATTATGAAAAGGTACATATATTAAGGTCGAGGATCATTAATTAAAATTGGAATCTTAAGTGGTTATTAGAGTCTCGAGGTTTGCCAAGGATCGGGTTTTCTCTATTAAGACTCCTAACCATGTGATTAAAAAACGATATGGAAACGCTAAAGTCGTAAAGTTATAATATAAATAACATCCGATTTGTGTTTCTCATTAATATTTTGATCAATAGTCCCCAAAAGATCGAGATCGATTCATTAAAATGAAAGGTCTTAATTTAGATATTAAGTCTCGAGTTTGTCATGTGAGCCACTCTTTTATATATTGTTATTATTGTTTATAACATAATAGATATTTGTTTACTGAGACAATCTCCATAGCAAACAAAAAGATACAATTACGCATCATGATGAAATGTTGAAACAATATTATTTATAAAGATTGTACTACCGATAATAAAAAGTTTTAAAATACTCCTGGATTTCATTATTTGAATATTTTTATATTTTACATACTTTTACTTTTCCAAATGAAAATCAAAGATTTTTTAGAGTTATCAGTCATCTCCCTCGCAAACCACTTTGACCCATTTCAAGAGCCAGTCTTCCTCACAATCTCTGAGTTCAATTGTGGAAATTCATCTTATTTGTAAACATGTTTACAACTATGTATGCTAAATGGAAATTTCAGCTTAATTCATCATCATCACTCCCTCAAAGATGGATAACAAGCTGATGAAGAGTGTCTTCAGTTTGAAGTCACGAGCTGGGCTCTCCATGACGTCATGGAGGTTTTTTTGACGATGATCTTGGCGCGTTTTTTGTGGTGAATGTATCGTAGAGGGAAGAATTCAGGCAATATTGGGGGTTTACCCACGCCCCAAAGAGTGCCAAGAAATATGTTTGGGAAAGTGAAATGAGGAAAATTTGCGAAAATGGGCGTCGCATTTGAGGCTTTTGACGATTGTGTTGCCGTGGCAAATAATAGACCAATTCCTCATGACTTTTTGCCACTCGCAGTCTACATGATTGAGTCGAGAAATACGAGAATATGAATAATGTGAATGTGAATACAAATGCGAATGCGAAGAAGAGGTTATTTTCTTGAGAGGGCCCTGACGTCAGGGTCCACCTGTGATTGACGCTCAACCAACGCCTTCGAGCAGAAATTGTCTTCTCGATTCTGCTTTTTTTTTTGCTCTTCATTAATAAAGCATAAGAAGCGTAGGTGCGCCCTTGAACCCGGCGGTAGCTAACGCCGACACGTCATGCTTTTTACGCTTTTGACCTTTGACGCGCGCAACAGGAGTAAAGTTCAGCGTGGGTGTGACGTCACCGAGAGGGACACACGGGACAAAGGACACTACGTAATGCCAGATGCCAGACCAACAGAGTGTTACGTCAATGCGCAAACTCGCTCTGCGGGAAAGAATATGGCCTGCTCTCATCTCCAAGTCAAGCTCCTGTCCCCAAAGTTGTCGGAATTTTGACACACTCAAAATAAAAATTGTCCAAGTTATATTTTCCTGCTATCACGAGACTTTAAGGGTCAATAATTGTTAAATTTGGTATATGGGCTTATTTGATGACGTAATACGAGACTGGAGCTGAAACTATGGTATATAAAAAATTTCTTACGAAATAATATCATCAGGTAGCTATGTATATCTTGGGAACTAACGGATTTATTGTTCTTAAATTTAGTATTTATGTTGTTTAAATAAAGTCCCACACGAAACCAAGAATTCTACAACTCTAGACCTTCTTATGAACAAGGAATAGGATTTTCTCAGGTGCTATAATCAAGTATCTCAAGACCTTAAACAAAACTAAACTATTAAAATTGGTATGTGGTTTTCTGTGATAATATACTACCAGATTATGGCTTTCTTAATCAAAAATAATATCCAATATCCTAAAACAACAGTATCTCTGGACCTTAAAGACCTTTAACAACAATATACAATATACGATCTTTTCTGATGAAATCCAATTAGAGGTGGGTCAGTCAGTTTTTTTGCGTTATCAGTACTGTTTTTTACAGTGCCCGGCGGCCTACGTGCTATGGAGAATGTGCGTGGGCCCACGTGAGTACTCCGGGTCCGGAGGAGGTAGTCCAGGTGGGCGTGGAATACGGATCCGGATCTGCGTGGGCGGATGCAAGTCAAGGGAACTGAACTGAACTTGAACCCGCCGAGTCCCCTCGGCCGCGATGTGCGTCTAATTTTAGATGCCAACCTGCGTCCGTTGATTAAATTAAACGTTAGCGAAATGCACAATACAGATTTCCCGCTGGGTAGCTTCTCCCCCAACTGCGTCGCAGATTGCATTGAAAATCCAGAGAGGTGGGGTGCGGCAGGGGAGCGGTAACGGTACATCGGCCCATTTACACGCCCACATATTCGCCGAGAGAGTGGATGGAGGCCATCGCTTGCTTCAGTTCAGTTTCAGTTCCGCGCGAAAATTACACACACAAATTCCCCGATTCCAATAACAAACACGAACAGGGGAACAAAAACAAAAACGCAAGTACTGCAAACATTCACACACACGCACACATAGAGGAGGACGGGCACACCGATAGGATAGGCATGCCGCAGACTGCTGGCTTTTATCGTCGCCTCTCGCTCGCACCCAGGCAGCGGTGCGCCGAGGCAAAGTATCAACAAATGTTCACGTGAACATCATGAGGTCAACGCGTGATAGCAGACGGACGGCCACAGACACTCACACACACACCGAAAGCACCCAGGCGAGCGTGCTCTGCCAGTAAGAAGGTTATTTACAGTAGGGAGTCGACTTGGTCATACCCTCTACATAAGACAAGAGACCAAAAGCGTCATTCAAACTATATGAGCACCACCTTTAAATATAATACATTTGACCAATACATAACAGAGACTCCATCATGCCCTTGATACCCTCGCTGGAGTGAGCACAGTCGCCCCACAAGTCTGGTGGCGTGCTAGTTATTTGTCGTCGTTGTTGTTGTTGCGCAAGCAAGAGAGCCCCAACGAGCGCCGCCGTATAATAGTCACAGCTGTTTCTGGCGCTCGCTCACTGCTCCCTCTCTTGTGGTGTGTGCGCGCTGCACGAGCCCCTTTTTGCATTGAAAAACTGTTACAGGCAGAGATTTAGATGCGGCATTGCCAGGTGGAAATTACCCGGAGGTTAGACGGGCTGAGTAATTAAATGAATTAAGTCGCAGTCGGATTATTTAGTTACATGGGGCTGGTAAAAAAGCTCATTTTGAAATTGACTTTTCCCCATGACTCATCCCCGTTATCTGCTCATTTCTGTTGCCTGGCAATGCCCTTCGCTCAACTGTTGAGCGCAGCCCCCCATCAGACTCTCTCTGTCTCGCTCCGCCTTTCGTTTATTAATGAAATCTTTCGTCTGTCTGCTGGCAACTTTTGTTGCCAGACTCAAAGTCAGACTTGGCTCTAAAGTTAATGCAAATAATATGCGGGGCCAGAATTTAATGGATTTCAGTTTTGAGGGGCGTCTGCCGCCCAGTTTTTCGTCTGAGCCTGTTTTCAGCTTATTTTCTGTGTTCGATTAATCACAGACTTCCGTGGCAACAACTGCGTCAGCGTCAGCTATTCAGTCACGGCTTTGGGGTGTGTCTGTGTGTGAGTTGGGGCTGTGCACGCGGCCACTGCATGAACAGCCTATGAATAGACAGCCCCCAATGGAATGGCATGGCATGGAATCCACAACGCCCCCTGCCCCCGTCTTTTTTCCGTGCCTCTCTCTCCCTCTCTCTTTGGCTCTCAGTGTTCCCTCTCGCAGTAAACAGCTGATGACGTCCATGCGTTGGTTACGTGTTTCCCCTCCGAGAACTGCCTCCCTGTAACCCACTATCTGCCGCCTCTTTTCTGTTGTGTGTGTGTGTGGGTTGGTAAGAGACCTGACCTTTTTCGAAAGAGCGACAGAGAGGAGGAGGTGGCGCTCTGCCCACGTTTCTGTTGGCTGATGCTCGTCCGGGTTTCATTGCACTGGTTGCTCCACTGCCGATGACGATTGCCGTCACGCACACATGGACACTTACAAGTGATTACGTCGGCGGCGGCTCCACTCACACACACGGCGACGTCGCCAGCGCCAGCTCTGCTGGTAGCTGAACGCCTTTGCCTTTTTCATTCGTCTCTTGAATTTCGAACGCAACGGTTCGCCCAGCTCCGGCACACGGCTCGAAAAGCGCAGTGCGAAGTTAAAACAGAGTGCAAAAAAGCCCACACGCAGAACGCAAAAACTGAGATTAAGCCAAGTGATAAAGTGATAAGCCAGAGAGCAAAACAAACAAAAAACAAATAGACAACAGACTCTTCGCAGAGCAGCGCAGTGTGCAGCAGTTCAAAGTGCAGCGAAAAGCCAGCAAAATGGATATGGATACTCTGCTGCCCTCGCCGCCCGCAACGCCCCCATTGCGTGAAAATAAATTGGAAAACGTAAGTGACCTACAAAGGTGCAGGAATCACTTTGAAAGTGATTAGTAATTGTTTCGAGTGCACTCAAGGCAGCGGAAAGTCAACGGAAAATCAAACGGAATCGGTTGGCTAGCTCGCTCTCGCTTCCACTTGCCGCGTTTCTAAAAACAAAAGTTCTCGGTCTCGCTCCCACTCGCGCCCAGGCCATGCGATCACGCAGCCAGCACGCGTTCACGTGAACACCGCATGCACAGCGAGTGATGTGCGAGTGGGAGCGAGAGGGCCTTAGGCTGAACATTGGACTTGGCACCAGCCAGCAGCAGTAGTAGGAAAAAAACAACACAACACGAGAGGTATACAGAGAGAGCGGCCCCGTGAGAGAGTTTTGTTTGAGAGCGAAGGTGAGTTGCCAATTGTTGGCAACTGTGCGGGCGTGGGACAGAGAGGGAGCGATGGCTAGGCCAAGCCCCAAGCCATAAAAATATGTCACATTTCTCGTTGCTGGCCGTTGCTTTGCTTCTTATTTTTTTTTGTCGTTTTAACTTATCTGGCCAAGAAAGAAGGTAACAAACAAACCCGAAACGCACACACATTGAGCGCAACGTGCCGAGCCCATAAAAAGATTTCGACGTCTACACACGCCAAGACCCCCCTTCCTCCTCCCCCCACCAAGTAAATTCACCCACCTGAAGCACGTCATAATAAACTAAGACTGCATTTTTCGGTGCCTGCTTTTAGGCGGCGCTTCGCTTAGGGGAAGCAAGGCACAAAAACAAAAAACCCAGAAAATCAGTGGATGTAGTTGAAAATGTAGGAAAATTTGTATACTTTTAGTAGTAGAAATTAGAGATTAAGTAAAACGTTGCAAATAACTATAAAGATACTAAATATTTTTTCACCATTATTTTTGCCTTTTAAATGTGATTTATTTACTTATTTATTTCGCCAGAAAAAGTTGATACAATTTAAACATGTTTCCCATTTTTTTTTTACATGTTAAATAAATTTAATATAAAGCAAGCTGCTTAAAAAACCCAACACTTGATTACTCATTATTTCTCGCCTCGAAAAGCCGTTTGAAGCAGGTTCAAAAAACCGCCAAAATACAAAAATAATAAAAAAAAACAATGTTCCCTTGGCCCCACACGCACAGAGCATTGAACTCGGTGGGTTGGGTGCGGTGGTGGGTGAAGGTCAGCGGCGGTGAATGGCCTTGTACAGCAGCCGTCGCTGCCAGTAATTAGCGGAATTTCGACGGGAAGAGTTATTGTGGGTCAAAGCTGGTCAGGGAAAAAAGTGAATGGGAATGTGAATGTGAATGCACTCTTTAGGACGACCAACACCATGATGTTGTTGAACCCCCACTAATCCCCCACTTTTCTCTTGTACACTTCAGGTCGTCAAGGATGAGCAACAGGTGAACGAGAACCTGCTGAAGGCCAAGCTTAAGCTGGTGGCCCAGAAGAATCAAAAGAATGGCGGCATCATCACACCCAATCCCTCGGACACGGAGGATGAGGCCAGCGAGATGCCCAGCAAAAAGCCGCGCTTGGAACAGCCCGCTGTGAGCATGACACCGCCGCCGGATCAGAAGCTAGAGAGGGTCAGTGTCATCATGAGGGTCAATAGCTCGGGAGCGGTCTCCTCGAGCAACCAAGACGAGAGCTCCAGCTCCTCCAGTACCAGTTCCTGCTGCAGTTCCTCCTTCTCCTCATCCAACAACACCACCACCACCACCACCACAAGTACAATTTCAATGGTGCCCACCGTCGAGGATGATTATCCAGAGACCAATGTGTGGCGCAATCTCAAGTTCAAGATGAACAGGAAGCGGGCGGCCGAAGTGGCCCTGCCGACAGTACAAAAACCAGAGGAGGAAGCACCTCTTGTAGCAGCACAGCTCCCAGCACCATCTGCACCGGCGGAAAAGCCTCTGGCGGAAGAAGTCAAGCCAGTGCTCTATTTCGCCCCAGTGGTTGCCTCTCCAGCCAGCCAGCTCCTCCTGCTCAGCACAGTGGCCGCCCAGCAGAGTCACACGCCCATCATGCCCGAGGAGAAGCAGCAACAACAACATCCCAGAATCACAGCCGCACAGGCGGCCGCCACCAGGAGCCGCATCTACGAGTGCAGCTTCCCGGAGTGCGGCAAGAACTACTTCAAGAGCAGCCACCTCAAGGCCCACCAGCGTGTGCACACCGGCGAACGGCCTTTCATCTGCAAGTGGGACAACTGCGACAAGCGCTTCTCCCGCTCCGACGAGCTCTCACGCCACAAGCGCACCCATACCGGCGAAAAGAAGTTCCAGTGCGGCGTCTGCCAGAAGAAGTTCATGCGCAGCGATCATCTGTCCAAGCACGTGAAGCGCCACAACAAGGACAAGGCGAACGGCGTCAATAGACATGTCTCTTTGGTCAACGCCTCCGCCTCCCCCGTTGCCGCTTCCCTGTGCGATGCCGGCACGCTTCACCTGCGGGCGATAGCACCAGCGGTTAGCAGCGGCAGTTCCTCCCCCATCTCATCGTCCTCATCCTCCTCCTCATCTTCGGCCAGCCTGCAAGTGTACAGCGCCCAGGATATCCTGCGGTTACAGCAGCAGGCCAGCTTCAGTTTCGGCGGAGCCCTGCTTCAAGTGCAGCGATGAGGGGCGGAAGAACCAGGAGCACCTGCATCCAGAACCAATCTCACACCCGACAGTATCGCCAGCTTAAAAAACAAAACAAAACAAAACAAAAACTCCCACCAAAAATCAGAGAAATCAACAGCAGAATAGGGTTTTCGTAAAGTAGAGTTTGCTGCCGACAATGTGTAAATTTTGATTTCGTAATCCCATAATGTACAGATTTCAAAAATCTTCTAAAAAACGGTTCTTTGTAAATCCCAAGAGCCTAGAATTCTATTCCTGATTCGGATCAAGGAGTCTTTTTCGTCAAGTGTAGCTGGTGTTAGTCTTAAGCTTTAGTTAAGAGCTAGATCTTGTCAACTTTTCCTTCTTTTTTTTTCGTGCATATATCAACTTTCAATTCAGGAGCACATCTTATAGCTTAGCAGCAATCTTCTTCAGATTCATACTTCGATTTCCGACTCTGAATATACCTTGTAAATATATATTAGACGAACATCTGTGATATTTAAGTTTTTTCTTAACTATTTTCTATATCGTACTATAGTTATTCGCGTGTAATTCTCTTAAACTTAACAATTGTATTTATTGCTAAATGTCGAAAAAAGAGAAAAGAAAAAACATAAAAAAAAGAAAATGGATCCCAAAAAACGATTCAAATCTCAAACAAATGAAAATATAAATATTTTCCAAAATAATTGCAAACCTGATTGTATTAAATGGGCGGAGAAAATATAATTGGGGTACATGCATTACCAAAAATTTCAGATTGGACCCACGACACAAAAAAATAAGCTTTGCTTTCCAAGCTTAGCTTCTATTCTTGTTTTTGTAATAATTTCCCAATCCAATCTCCAATGAAGAGAAGACTATTTGAATAGTCCCATGCGAATAATTCTTAAAATGAAAAACTACGTCGCATAAAAGCGAACAGATTGAAAATTCTAGATCGATTGGGCTGTTGATTCTCTGTAGAAATAAATATATTCACTGAGTAACAGAATGCTGAGTTTGCTATTTCAAAAAAGGACAAAATGGACCTTTCCTTAGCAGTAAACCAATTAACGTCTTCTAAAATACGGAAATATCTCGTACCCATCCGCTCGAAACCAGATAGTACCACTTTAATCTTAACTCCTTATTTAATATTTCCTGGTGTTGGTCTCCATTAAGATCACTAAGAGTTTGTGGGACCAGTAATGGTGAAAGTCTTTGATAAACTGATTCCCGAAATTATTAGATCACATTTAAAGAGGCATCCGGCTTTTGTTGCGACTGATAAGAGCTTATAAAGATGAAGGTACGTCTATATTTCGTCAAGGTTAATAGGTATTCAAAACAAAGACATACACTAGCAGAAATAATGGGAAACTATTAATAAATGAACTTCAATTTACCCTTGCAGGGTGTATAATTTCAGTCAGAAGCTCAAAACGCAGTGAATGAATCATTTCCGATCTTACAAATTATATATATTCTTGATCAGGATCAACAGCTGAATCGATCTAGCTATGTCCGGCAGATTTTATTTTTTTTTAGAATTTTCCAAATTTCATTAGGGGTTAAAATTGCAGCGAAACTTGTCAAAAATTTACAACAAATTTTAATTTTTTAAAATTTACTCAGATTTATAAACCGAATAAAAATTAACATAGGAACGTACTGAAATTAATTCAATTTTGACTGAGTTATGATGTATTTTCTCTGCAAGGGTATAGAAATTACGGTTTCCCGAAGCTTTCTAGCTTTCTTTCTAGTTTTACTTAACACCCTGCATATAAAGTATATAGGAAATGTTATCCTAAATACTATATCCCGAAGATCATATTTACCACTATGGATAAATCTATATAATATTTTTACCAAGAATAAGGGAATCATTGTGGAATAGTATTGGATGAAAAGGGGTAAACTAAAGCCTCAGACTTACCACTGTATAAATTTTGAAAATTGATTGGTCGAATGTGAAATGATGAAATGGAAATGATTTTTGAATTCTTCGAAAAAATTTAGTCACCGATTTAGAAGTGTTTTCACTTTGATGATGAGTTTTTGATTAAGCCCGACATCTTCTGCTTTGATTTTGTTTATTTCTCAGCTACTTTTAGTTGTTTGTTTGTTTGTTTTAAGCGTAGAAATAAAGAAATGAAATAAAAAATCAGAATAAATTTGGAAAATAAATTGAAATCAAAATGAAAAATCTTACTTGCACTCTCAATCCTTAATTTAAATTCTAATCAAACACCCAACAGCGTTGTGAATTCACAAACAGCCTTGGGCTTGGCCTGCGGCGAGCAGGCCTGCCTCACCGCCATCTCCCAGGTGTCCAGCAGATGGGACAGCGAGTAATTCTTGGGCAACTTGGACATGCGTGCAATCAGGGCTTGCTGCACCGTTTGCAGGAAGGGCGAGGCGGAGTATTCCTGCTCCGTTAGGGAACAATCCGGTGCCTGCCATGGATACTCTTCGGGGACGCTCACACTCACAGGAGGAACGCTGGGCAATCGCTTGTCGTCGAGGCAACAAATCAAGCGTATGGCCTTATTATTTATCTGCGTTGTGGTATCCAGTTTGACTTTGAACTTGCTATCCAAGCGGGCAATCTCGCCCTGGAGGACATGCGGCACATCCTGTTCGAAGGCCGTGCTCTTCTTCTCCTCCACTCGGGGTCGCTTGGCGGGCACTGGTGCCGCTATATCGGTGCCAAAGAGCAGTTCCAAGGTGGGTCGGAATGTGCGATGCAGCGTGTGATTTGCCACAGGACTTTGCAGGGTGGTATTGATCACTTCCAGCAGTGGGTTAGAGGATTTCTGAAGGGTAAGGGTGGGGAGAATTTATCTAAAGCTCTCTCGTAAATAAATTAATCAAAACTTACCCCAAACTGCTGGCCGGAATAGGAGATGAGATCCATCTTCTCCAGTGCCTTTTCGCACTTGAGAAGGGTTTCTAGGGGCACACGCTGTGTGGGATTGCACAGAATCTCCAGCAGCTTACTCATCTTGGTCATTTTCTCCACATCTGTGGATGTAGTTTTCAATGTAACTTCATTTTCTTAGAAATCTTTATTGATACTCACTGGTTCCATCGTTGCTGATCTTGGCCAGCATCCTTTTGAGCGGTTCTATGTATTTGGTCAGCTGCTTGTACTTCTCCCGGTACAGGGCCTCCTCTTGGGGATTGAACGGACTGTTGCCGGTCACCTGGCCCGGCGTATTGATTGATGCGCTCGGCGACTGCTGCCGCAGGTTGTTACGCTGCTGGGGGTTCTGCATTTGCATCATCTGCGGACTGGACTGGGGCACCAGTGCCGGGCTGGGTATCATATTGGCCGTGTTCATCTGCTGCGGTGTGGGTGGCTGTTGCTGCGTTGGCTGCTGCTGCTGCTGTTGTTGCTGCATCTGCTGGAGCTGTGCCTGCTGCTGCTGCTGTTGCAATTGCTGGGCATCCGCTGGCGATGGACTGGAACGCATAAAGGGCTGTCCCGGTTGCTGCTGTCCTACCCGATTGCCGGGAAACATTTGACCACCTGCCTGGCCCATTGCCATATTGGGTTTCTGCTGGAGATTCGGCGGCATATTCACTCCCATTCCCATGCCCACCTGCTGCTGTTGCTGTTGCACGGCATTGGGCGGCAGGCCGGCTCCGCCACCGACCACCTGCTGCTGCTGCTGTCCTGCGGGGCCCTGCTGCATGTTTGGGGGCATACCCTGCATACCCTGGCCGGGCATTACCTGGGGGCCGCCCATGCCATTGCCCTGGCCCATGCGCATCATGGGATTCATGCCCATCTGCGGAAATGGAGAGGGAGTTTAGCTTTTCCTGTGGCTTCTAGGATATCACGTTGCTTTCCCCCTACTCACCACAATCTGATTCTGTTGGATCTGCTGCATTGGTGGCATCTGTTGCATGGCATTCACGTTCATTGGTCCACCGCTTTGCATTTGATTGGGCACGCCGGGACCTCCGACGCCGGGACCTCCGACGCCTGCAGCTCCTGGACCTGCGGGTCCAACGACTCCGACAGCGGGGCCACTGTTTGGACCCGGTCCCACCATCTGGTTGGGCATTACACCACCGCCGCCGCCACCTACCATCTGCTGATTGGGATTTCCCACCAGCTGTCCCTGGTTCTGGGCGCCAACGACAGCTCCTCCGCCGCCCATCATTACGCCCCCGCCACCGCCCTGCATTTGCATCTGCTGGCCACCGGGCATTTGCCCACGGATATTGGCCATGGGTTGCATTTGCTGCTGGACTCCCGGACGCTGCTGATTCAGCGATTGAAGGAGATTGGAGGCAGTGCCGGGACCACCGGGCACGGGAGCACCCACACCGCCAGCGCCCATGGGCATCATTTGGGGATTGCGATTGCCCTGGCTGGCCAGGTTTTGGAGGGCATTCAGCGGATCCTGCATCATGTTGGTACCGCCGCCCATCTCGGGATTCGGCGGCTGGCCCCCTCCGCCGCCCTGCTGCTGCTGCTGTTGTTGTTGTTGTTGCTGCTGCTGCTGCTGCGACTTGCGGGACATGTCCTTGTAGTGCATAAAGAGCTTGGCCACCAGGCCGAGATACTCATCCTTGCTGCGTGACTTGCGGAAAATGTGATTTTCCATAACGCCGGCATTTTTCGACTGATCCTGGGCGTTCGGTGGCAACAAGTCGTGGCTGTGAAAAGTGCACAGAACGTAAACCAAATTGCAAGTTTTCGGTTTCGCGCAATACTTACATCTTGGAGATGACATTCTGGCGGAACTTCTGGCTCTGCCAGTCGTCGGTCATGATTCCAAAGTTCTCAAAACAGCGTTTAAACACACAAAATCACTTAAAAATAAACTTCTTCTGACAAAATGTCTTCTTTTTCGAGCAGTGTGACCAAACTTTGATTAGCATCAAATACCGTTGAAAAATGTTGTTTTGAAGCAATCTGGCAACTGCGCTTCCTACCGATTACCGATAGATGAGCTAGAACCAGTGCTGCATAATAACTGAAGAGCGCGTAATTTAAAAGTTATTGCTGGAAATAACAAAATACAAATTGGTAATATTAATAAATAATGGATTTTATAAGTAAATACACTTTCTATAAATATATAAAAAACACAATATTTCAAAAAATAACGTAACAAATAAAAAAACTTAATACCTTTAAACCAATTTATTTTTAAATTATAAAGAAGTGCAAAAATTAATAGAATAAAAACCGTTTTTTTAAATTTTAAAAATTTTTTAATAAGAATACCATTTTTTGAGTTGATATTTAACGATATACTTGTATGACAATTTTTTCAACAAATTAAAATTTATAAACTCATAACTTAAGCAAAAATGCATTAATTTCAATTCGGAAAGCTGTTCTGTGGTACTTTTTATAGGGTTAACAAGTCTGCATATTGATTTTTAAGATTAAAATAAATTTAAATTTTGTCAAAATTTCAATTTTTGACAGTGACAATTTTTAACAAAGACAATTTGAAAGAAAAATTTCAGAGTTTTGTTGACTTCAAACATGGCTAGATCGATTTGAATTTTCATGCTGATCAAGAATATATATGATTTATAGGGTCGGAAATGACTCCTTCACTGTGTTTCAAGCTGCTGACTGATATTTAATACCTTTGTTTAAGTCGATATTTATAAATATTTATATGACAATTTTTCCTACAAATTGAAATTTGAAAAACTCATTACTAAGCCAATAATACATTAAATGTAATTCGGGAAGCTGTTCTGTGCTAGTTTTTACAAGCTTAACAATTCTGCATATTAAGTTTTATAATTAAAGCAAATTAAAATTTTGTCAAATTTTCATATTTTGACAATGACAATTTTTAACGAGAAAAAAGTTGAAAAAAATTTTACAATTTTTTTTACTTCGAACATGGCTAGATCGATTAGGCTTTTCATGCTGATCAAGAATATATATGATTTATATGGTCGGAAATGATTCCTTCACCGAGTTTTAAGTTTCTGCCTGAATTTAGAATCCCACAAATTTAAATATTTAACTAACATTTTATATGATAATTTTTGGAAAAAGTGAATCTTAAAAATAAAATAACTCAGCCAAAAATTCATTAATTTTCACTCGGAAAGCTGTCCTATGTTAGTTTTTATAAAGTTAACAAATCTGCATACTCAATTTAAAATTTTAAAATATTTAATTTTTTTGTAAAATTTTGACATTTCAATGATGCAAAAAATGTACAAAAAAAGTGCAAAAAATTTTAAAATTTTAAATCTCCGCCGAAGATAGCTAGATCAATTCGGCTTTTGATGCTGATGAAGAATATATATGATTTATAGGATCGAAAATGATTCCTTCATTGTGTTTTAAGCTTCTGACTGAAATTATAATACCCTGGAAGGGAATAAATAAATTATATATATAATCATGTAATATGTTTGTTTTATAACACAAAATACAATAAAATCTATAATTCCAATCAAAATGATGTAAAAAGGGCAACAAACTTTTGGTAATTAATTAATAGGACATCAAACCTAATTTAGGATCTCTAAAACCGAGCAATTAAGAAGTTTAAAAGATTAACTGGTCATCAAACAGTTTGACATAAATCAGGCACCTGGTCAGCTTTGGCTTCTACCTTCTACCTTCACCTAAACCTTAACTACAAAATAAGGTAACAAATAAATAAAAGAAAGGAGAGGAGAGAAGACCTACAGGCGAGCGGAACGAATGCTGTGATCAAATGCCGCAAATGCTTGGCCAATGATGATGAAGCCATCAACGGCTACACCTCGGATACAACCTCCTCCTCCAGCGGCCGGCGGTCGTCTTTATTGATTTTGATGGCTGCGGCAACAGAGCAAGGTGATTTATCGCAGATCCTGCGGCAAAACCAGAGGAGCAGGAGGAGGAGCAGTCCAGGGAACACACACACACTCGCACACACACAGGGAGATCCATGATTCAAGTCCATCGATAAGTTGTTGGCAGCCTTTAGGCATCGGCATCGTTACCGCCTACAAGACGTCAACACTTGGCCAAGGTCTGGTCGAAAGAATGGTCCAAGGAATATGGCCAAAAGAGAATATATGGATGGCAGAGCACTGAGAAAAAATGCTACAGGAAAATACAGCATTACTCTCTTTACTTAATGTACAAGAATCCTTCATTCAATTGAAAAGTCTGCATAAAAACTACTACAAAAATTTAATCATAAGCTACCCTAGAATTTTGAATACTAACTGTTTTCAAACAATGCTCAAATAAATTAATTAGTTCCAAATTGATTTAGTAAAATGTTTGTTAAATAATATTTTTTCAAGTGTATATGAGAAAAGGATAAATCCTGCGCTGCGCCAATGATGAACTTATCTACATCTTGGGACAGGGCAATGTGTTTGTCTGTTGTCTTGGGCCTCCTGTGTTTTGTCATTGGCCAAGATGTGTGTGCGGTGTGCAGTGGCATTCTCTAATCAGAAATCAAAGATCTGAAGATCACAGATATGGCCTAAATGGCCTAAACGCTTGTGTGGCCCATTTCAAAAGATTAAGACCCAAAAACAAGTAGCTTACACGGCAAGAATCAACGGATAGAATTTCACCAAAAAATAAACAAAGATTGTAAACAGATATTGGAATTAAAGTTGGTTAAGAAGGATTTAAAGAGGAAATATTTAGAGATTAAGAGTAATTTTCTGGTTAGATGAAAATAAATAACTAAATATATATAAAATAGCAAAGAATGAGTGATAGCTTTTAGATAATAATAAACTAATAACGACAAACAGCAACAAAAAGAATAATAAACTTTGACTAAATAAAAGGAAAATGTATAAAAATACTAAGAACTTGAAATAGTTTGTAAATAATAATAAATAAATAATAATCATAAGTAAATTTGGATTTAAATTGATGAAAAATATATAAAACCCAAGTAACTATACAATAACAGATATGTTCAATTAAGATAAAAATAGTTTGTTATTTGATTTCTAATTATTACATTTAAATTTTTCCATTATTCACCCTTTACCTAAACAAAGCATTCTATATTTTATCATATAATTATATTTAAATTTATAGGACACAGACTTTCCCAAATTTTTTGATCGAATACATACACTCCAACCTCCTTCTTCCTCTCATCCCCCTACGATAAGCACGCCGCTTGTTTATAAAATATTATTAATTATTTAATCAAGGAGTTGTTTGGCACAAGTTTAGGATTACAAAATAAAAAAAGAGAAAAGAAACGGAGAGAGATGTGAATCCACACCCGCTACCGTGTTGTGCCGCGTGGAAAAGTATCGGATTTCCTCGAGAGTAAATGCAATTAATTTGCTGCCTGCACAATGCACAAAGGCCACAAGGATATATATGGGGTCAGATATAGGTATATGGATAGGGATAGGGATAGGGATAGGGGATCCCCTCTATACCTAATTTGGTGCCTCCGGGACATGTGTGTGCTTTGTGCCCCTAATCCTTTCACTAGTTCTGTGTGCGTGTGTGTTTTTGGCACTTTTTCGGCACCTTTTGGTAAACATGAGATGGCTTAAAAGGATGCTGGGGACTCGGCGATCGGCTCTCCTTGATTAGAGCTCAATTTACACTTTGGGCCAAAGGTGTAATCGAAGAAATCGAGCCAAGGACTCTATTATTTGGAGCACAAAGGATGCGCATAGCGTATGGCACATATGGTTGCATCAGCATCCTTCTAATCCTGAAAGGTGCATGAGGAGGAGGAGTGCCAAAAGGGTTTGCCAAATGACGAAATGGAGAACTGAGGGGAGTAGCCTAGAGATAATAGAGTAAAAACTCTGCTAATAGGATCATTTCTCACAGTTTTTATACCCTTGCAGGGTATTATAATTATATATGATCAGAAAGTAACTATAATCAGTAAGTATCAATGAACATTAAGTAACTGTGATCACTAATTAACTATGATCAGTAAGTATCCATGATCAGTAATTAACTATGAGTAGTAAGTAGCTCTAAACAGTAAGTATCTTTCAACAATAAGTAACTATAATCAATAAGTATCTATGACCACCAAGTAACTACGATCAATAAGTACCTGATACCAGTAAGTATGTATGATTTGTTACTAATTTTAAACACAAATAAACAATGACTTGCCACTTTTGTATCACAACACATTTCTGATACTTGGCTGGCAGCAGTCACTTCGTTCCGAGGATGTTAGAACCAGTTGGGAATCATATGTACCGATGTGCGAGATTTGTTTTGGAACAAAGAGCAAGCTATTTGAATAAAACTATGGAGTTATCCTTCTATATAATTTTACTAGTATATAAATCGGAGCATGGAGAATCGGTCGACTATATATATACCTATATATAGCTGACATAGGAACAATCGGGCGATTTATAGAACTTTGACCAGTAATTAACTATGAAAAGTAAGTAACTCTGAACATTAAGTATCTATGAACATTAAGTAACTCTGAACAGTAATTAAGTATGATCAGTAATTAAATATTCTTATTAAGTAACTACGATCAATAAGTATCCCTGACCAGTAAGTATGTATGATTTGTTACTAATTTTAAACACAAATAAACAATGACTTGCAACTTTTGTAACACAACACATTTCTGATACTTGGTTGGTAGAAGTCACTTCGTTCCGGGGATGTTAGAACCAGTTGGGAATCATATGTACTGATGTGCGAGATTTGTTTTGGTACAAATTTAAGAGAGCTATTAAGCTATTTGAGAGAAACTATGGAGTTAATCTTCTATATAATTTTACTAGTATATAAGTCGGAGCATGGCTAATCGGTAGACTATATATATACATATATATAGCTGCCATAGGAACGATCAGAAAACTTTAAGATAAAAAATTATAGCTTCTCCAGTTTTCAACAGATTTTAATCAAATTTGAGATATAGCCATTTTATATTATTCTACAATTGTTGTAAAATTGTATGAAAATCGGACGACTATATCATATAGCTGTCATACAAACAATCAAAATAGAGGAAAATGAAAAACACTGAATGAAATGAAAGCAGGCAT